GTCTGAAGTAGGTGAGCAGCGTCAGCAAGAATACAGCGGGTGAATCATCATGAACTTAATATTATCTTGAGGTGTATCCATCAAACAAGAATCCTTACCTAAACTAGAACATTTTAATCCTACTTTATCTAAGTATGTTGAAGTGTATGACTAATATCTTGCCGTACTATAACCACACATTGACGACTGACCGTCACCGTACCGTCACTTTGATTAGACATTGGCGTGGTTTCCAATGAAAACGAAGAACCATCGAACACCATCGAATATGGTTTAGAGCAGATGAAATAATGGTACCTATGCTATCTTACCACCTACGCGCCTACATCATTTCTTATTTGTTTGGATTTGATCGCTTCTGGTTCTGGCTTTTAATATCTACGGTTTCAGACTCAATAAAAAAAGTAACTATTACAGTATAGGAATACTTTGTATAGTTTTTAAAAAGCCTTAGCAGTTCTACTACAAATAACTTGGGTTCCTACCTGCAATAATCTTCTACAGTTTCAAAGCTTAAATAATACATATATAATATGTTTATTCAAACGCTACATGCTACTGAATTGTATCAGTTCTTTTCAGGATCTCGTTGTTAAAACTTAAAGCATATTGAATCGAAAAGATGCAACTTTAACTGTTTTAATATCTATAGCAGCTTTGTATACAATACAATACAATAAAATAAGTTAGTAAGTTCACCTGTACTTGTACATGTTGACAATTCACAGAATCGTATCCCGAGAGATTTTAATTGTATCCCGCACATTAACTATATCCTGATAAAATGTTTCATTCAGTCAAGTATCCTAAAATATAAACCGAGTCTTACTATCTAAGATCTTTTACATTTTTACTCAAAAAATGATATTAAAATAGGTCACGTTAAGCATAAATTAACCATAATTTCACCTGGAATACTGTCATAAAGTGCTGCCAAATTTATTTTAAATATGATTGGGTCATATAAAAAGGATCTCGACTCGCTCAATGCCTCTTTCGTCTATTCGGTGGCAACAAGAGAACTCAGAGAATCGTGTAATTGTGACAATGACACACGACAATAACCTTTAGTATAAACAGATCAAAGTTTGATTCAGTACAAACAGTCGGGGTTCTTAACCTATCTGCTACACGTGCCGCTGAGTTTTTGCCGCCAAATTGATGGTACAGATATTTTGCTAGAATCTGTGTTATAAAAACACAAACCACTGAAGTGATTAACGAGTTACTGATCGCTCTAAATTGCTTTAGAAAACGGGTGATGGTTACTAAGCAGTATGGCACATCATCATCATCAAGTGCTTTTTCGGTCCGATTTATGCTTAATTTTAATTTGTCATTTTCCCCAAGCTGCATTTTTTGTACGTTCTTAGAAGGGTTGGCAATCCCTTCAAGTACTGCAGTTAAGTCCATTAATTAACTTCGATTTTGTTATTGTTTTACTGATATAGTGATGTATGCCTCCTGGGCCTCTGTGTGAATACTTATCCAGATTTCTCAAAAACTTTGAAATTTACTGTATGTCACTGCCTAAGACACTTCAGCATTCCTTTCTATTGTTACAGTTGATAAACATTTATAATAATTAATATAACCCAGTCCATAAAATATCGCTGCAATGTAACGATTACATAATGTACAGAATAGGGTAACAAGGAAAACGTTGACATTGCGAATTAATCTTAAAATAAACCCAAGTATGAATTAATATTTGTAATGGTAAACCCGGTCTGGTATGGGACGTCATTAGAAATAGCTTAGAAGTTAAGCTTCGCATATTACTCATAAATATATATATTTGAAGGAATGAATGACTTCTGGTAAGGTGCTAGTAATCCTATTTTTTCCTACCATAATTGCGAAATGTTTGTTATACTATTTCGTTACAGTACTGAATGGATTTAAATGGAATTTGGCATACTACCCATTTTTTGTATTGGAGTAAAGCAGGCGAAGCCGCTGGTAGAAGCTACTATACCCTTACTCCCTTATCCCGTCGCCGGGTGTTAGGAAGCAGGTTTTTCCTATTGCCTTACAATATAAATCTGAGAATTAACCACTCTCTCCTTACGAGATCAAAGCACCGGTATCAATTATGCAATGTTTGATATGGTGTGTTATTGTGGGAAAACCGACACACCTCTTATCTTCCATGGTTAGTCATTCGTGATACGTAGGTTATACGCGTTACGTATTATGACGGAGTTTCTTAGTCCTGATAGAGCAGATAAAGTGAGAAGCATATCTTTGGGAGTGCGTTGGCAACGTTTATAGAGCTGAGAATCCATTCATTCATTCATTTTTGGGGAATTACACGTTCTGCGTAACATTTCTTACTCTGTAGGACACGTGCTAACATTCGGAGACTAATCTCCGATAATAGGTTCTGTTATTAACAACTCGTTAGTTGTAATTTATTCTTAAAACACCTATTAGTTATAAAGTGATTAGATGGTTAATATCATCACAACATCCTTTTCATTATAAGTGGCTTTGAACGTGCATGCTTTAGCTTATGCGTCAGTATATTGCAAAAAGATTGCAGTGATTCAACATAGTGATTACGAAGTGGAAAGTTGAAAATCAGTCTGTAAAAACTATCTATCTGTACTGTGAAGATCATTGGACCATGAGTAGAACAGTGCTTGGCTACTAAAATATTAATAGCGGATGATATGCGCACGCGTCGCCTAGACTGCGTCTGATCGTGACGCAGCGCGTGGGCACGAGATAAATGTTGTACTGACGACATTATGGACGGTGCAGATCATTTTTTTTTAATTTACACAACTGTAAAGAAAATTAGAAATGTCTGATAACCAAGTTTTTAATTTTTTTAGTTCTAGACTTGTTACTTAAATATGCGTTAGTTAATCATTGTTTGTTTAAGGAATTTCAAATTCGATTTAGGAAGAATTTTTAAATCCGTTATTGAGATTGATGTAACCATTTTTTAATGGTAGTGCCCGAATATACATTTTCAATGAGGTAATGTATCATTGGTTGACTGCGGTTTTGAGTTAAATCACTTAATTACATACAAATATTGCTGTTATAATTTCATAATCTGGCTATTTCAATTTGTTACTGTTCGTGTCCAGACGAGAATTTACCTTCATTATTATAGATGACTAGAGACGCGCTGTTATGTATATTTTGTCAAAAGTCATTTTGTTTGTCGTCTCGCCAGACATTTTTATATTTGCCTCGAGATGAGTAATTTGAGAACAACCTATTTAATTTTCTCTAGTTTTCAACACATCACTCAGTGCGGTCTGGTGTCTATGCATTCAATGGCAATGACGTACTTATTACTTGAAAAATTTGGACATTAGATGATTTGTTTAAATGTTTGATTACATGGGTGAGGGTAAATACCTACTTATGTACATATGTCGCAGCCAACTGGTCCAATCAGCTTGCCGTTTGATCATAGTATAATTTGAGTAGCAGTTCGATTTCTATGCGGTTCACAGTTCTAACCTACCATTCTGATAACAACTTTGTTTTCTTAACAATCCCTTCGACCTTTAGCCTGAATTAAATTTTACCCATTCATAGTACGACTAGTCATTCAGGCATGTGGTTGGATGGCTAATTCAACTAATTGGCTGCAACAGATACACTCCACGGTTTGCCTGTAGTAGTTTGGGCTACACACGGTCGCTTTGTATTCACCTTTTATTGCAGTTTGAAGTTATCGTATGAATATTGCTTTAATTGTTATGTCGTACTCGTAAACGTTTTCAATAAATTACATACATAGTGTTAAACTATGTTAAATTATTCATAAATAATCTAATGGCGTCTTAAGAGCTTCATTTACATCTGTAGGTGTAGCGCAATAAGGTGCCGCAGTCTCGGTCTAGACCAGGAAAGGAACTGGGGAGGGTCAGTAACTCGCAGACACTCCCGACACTTCCTCTTGCCTCACCCTGGGCGAGAGAAGTCATTTGACGATGACGACGACGTCATACAACATTAATTTTTAGTTTCAAAATGTTTGCTTGTATTCCTTGCAATCCTTATATTGAATTATAGCTGGAACTTAGTAGTTGTTTTGTTCCATTATAAGTTCAATATTTTGTATGAATGGTTTAATAATTTTGTTACCTCTTGCCTTAATAGTTGCAGTGTCAATTAGGCGTTACTTTATAAGCATAATGACTTCTGATAACATTGGTTTGGTTATTAAATTGTTATTATTGCAAACATAATTGGATGTAATAAATTTATGTTGCCCGCTATGGTTTAACTTTTATGACTTGTTCATGTTTCACACTGGACTAATAATAACTGTAATTTTAGTTAGTTATTTGTAATTTTAATTGTACAATAGTAGGTGCTTCGTATTTTATTATTTTACTTACACTCACTTTATTTACTTTTCTTTCAATCGTAGTAATTCGTAGGCACAAAAGGATATTGATTGATTAATTTAAAAACTTCGTGTCAAAATAAGATAGTCTTAATTAATTCATTTCTTAACGTTCACGAACTGTGTCCGGTGAAAAATTGGTTTAAAGTATTTGTGGGTAATTACTACAGTTGTTTAAGCTTGGCTAGTTACATATTCATTTTTGCCAATAGGTCTTGAAGCTGTTGATAGACTTTATTATTATTTTTGCTAGTTATAGTAACTTCATTACCTTTGGTTTTAGTCGACGCAGTTGATAGTAATAAAATTTTTATTTTATTATTGTTATAGGTTATATTGTAGGTACATAAACATGTACCTACCATAAAATATAGTCCTAGCCAAGATAAAAAAATAGTATTGTTATTGTTTTCGATTGTACTTACTTTAGTTCTTAGTAGACAATTTATTGCCGATAGCTAATTTTAAGTTTATAATATTGATAATAACAATAAAAACAAAATTATTTTATAACTTTCGACGTGCGTGTAATTTTCTTCTTGTTCTTGGTATCTTCATAAATATTTTTTGTAAGTATTCAAAATTAATTTTAATTGTAATGTGTATTTTTGTATCTTTACAGAAAGCGCACTATGTGTAGGCGGTCCCCATAATGAGGAACAACTGAATATTAGTGATGTTTGTAAGTACATTTAATTTTTTTTATACTTAAATCCTATTTCATTGAGGCATCTTGGTCGTGCACCAGAATAAAGTGGAAGCAATTACGGAGTGCGCAAACGAGGCCTTACATCCCGGGCATACAAGTCCATTAGGAGAATAAACAGGCAAAGTTACTGTCTTGTATAAGACATTATCATTGCTTTAAATAATCATTTGGTATTGTTAATTATTCTTTATGACAAGGCAATAATTCTTAATAAACTTCTCACTTGTCACTACTGTCACTTTATCAAAAGCTAAAAGTTAATTTACGGAGGTTGTTATCAATAGTTTGTTTCTACATAAGACTATTTGAAATACTTAGAGATAATTCGTTGTATCTCAAACCTGACCTTTGTGGCCGGTTTGTTTTCAATTTGAGTTTTAGACTTGTTTTTTATTACATCCTATTTATGCATATATGTAAATACGATGCCCCAAATATTTTCCTCCTACATCAGAGTATGCAAAGTCGTACTGTCTTCTACCTTTTACCTACCTAATTGTATTTTTGACATGCTTCATTGCTACCAAAACATCCTTCCCCCATCATAAATAAGCCAGTTTTTCAGTTCTGGATGATGATTATGACTGTAGTTACAGACGTAAAATATCTCTGACTGCACGGTTGGCTGGGGAACTGGCTGCCACACAACGTGTCGCGGGTTCGGTTTCCACACGGAACTAATAAAATAAAACTAACTACTCTTGTCGTCATCAAAGGGTTATTTGTTGTGCAGTTGAGGCGATCACTTTGGCGGACCCGTCGTTCGGCGTGGGTACAGCCGCCGGCATAGACGAGAGCATGGCGCGCCGCGACCAGCCCTACGTCGAGATCGTGGAGCAGCCGGCCAGCAAGGCGCTCAGGTTAGTGCCACTCACCAACATGGCGCCCTGCCAACCTCCATGTACCTGCTATCTACTTATGGCCAAACGATGGACTATTTTTAAACACTAAACTTATTGTTGGTGGCGCAATTCAATTCTTGTATCAAAGCAATATTCCGAGAGATTTAAATATCAGAAAACCCTAAAACTTTTTAAATCTATTGTTTAATTTGCAAACCTCAATTCCTAGTTGGGAAAAATCTATAAGTAGGTATCTAGTTTTTCTTTGAGATATTTAGTCAAAAAGTTTGAATACTAAGTATAGTCGATTCCCGCTCGGAACAACTCTTTGTGTGATCCACAGATTGTTGTTCGGGGTCTGGGTGTGATGTGTATGTGAAATTGTATGTTTGTAAACGCACCCACGACACAGGATGAAATCCTAGTGTGGGGCAACTATGTTGGGATAACTATAGGGAAAAAATATTGTTTCATCTAGTTTTTGGATGAAAGCTAAAGTGTACCATTATTTTTATATAGACATCAGTAGACAGACTGGTTTAAGTCTATTGATGATAAGAAGCAATTAATCGAAGATAGCTGTACAAAATATGGTGACCTTGTCAAAAAAAAAACGGTCAGTTCTATCGCTTTACGAATCATCTGTTATTTTTGGGTTCTTTTATTTTATTCATAAGACGAATGAAATAAACAGTTAGGTTCATGTGTTAAACATAATAATTAATCTCCTTTTAATTATAAGGTCATTAATATTAAAGGTAGGTATGTACCTAAGTATCGGAATTAGACTTCTCCCTGAGCTAACAGTAGACCAACTTATTACAAACAATTTAAGGTCCGTACTGATTTGCCTTTTGCCAATTCTTGACTCAGGTTTAACACACCCAAATGCGCACGTACAAAAAGTTTTGATCCCACATATAAGCAATTGCTCTCCATGCGGGAATCGACTCGTTGAAGAGACCTGGTCTACTAGCCACTGCGCCAACGGTAGAGTACTAGAATAATAAAAAAACAAAATACCCGACTGCACACTAAAAAAAAGAGTAAAACAAGCCCCACAATACAAATTTACTGAATATAATTTATAAATGTTGATGGAAAGCATCGCAGGCGGGGACCAACAGAGGCTTATTTATAGTCATTTCTGTTGTGCACCATTTAGCAGAATTTTCGTTGGTGGCGGTCAAGGTGGTCCCCGCCTGCGATGCTTTCCATCAACATTTATAAATTATATTCAGTAAATTTGTATTGTGGGGCTTGTTTTACTCTTTTTTTAGTGTGCAGTCGGGTATTTTGTTTTTTTAATAATATTTTTTTTATTTATAACTTTTTAGCTGTTTTTATTTAACGAAAATGTTGTAGATGTAGAAGACTATGTACATTCGGGCTGTATACTCGAGCATATCCCCCTCCGCACCGCGCCGCGCGCCGCATGCCAGGCCACGCCCTATCTTTTTGCTTGCTAACGCATGAGTTGCTTTGCGTTGACGCAGAATTAACATGTTCCCGTGGGAATTTTGAGAAAAAACGTATCCTATATTAATTACTCCCGTGATTGAAATGAATCTAATGATACCGCATACATATTTTTTTAAAGGGAAATTTAGAAAAAATATTATTATGTCTTTATCCCGTGGGACTTTTAGGATAAAATGTATCCTATGACACTCCCGTAATCAAGACAAATCTAACGATACCTCATACATCAAAATCCATCAAGCCGTTTAGGCTACAGGAGGTCACAAAGGAAAAGACATACATACATACTTACATACACTCGAAAAACATTACCCTCCTTCTTTGGCAGTCGGGTAAAAATGATTTGCACTAGATATTGATATGAAGCGGATACTTAGCGACTAATGAAACAAGTTGACAGTTGGCAGCGGACGATTGGGGACAGCTTCTAGAGATGTTGCTCTGCGAATTTATTAGGTCATGCACCTCGTCGCTACCTACATTCGAGACTTGTCTGTGTCAATATTCTCTCAAATATTCCACTATTTATATTCCTACTACTTCTCTAAGATGATTTAGTGTTTATTAACATCGGCGGAAAGTGTTTCTCGATTTATACGTTTTAATATTTATAAAATTACGCGCTCCTCTGATATAGTGAGATGCCATTGCCGAAATAACAATAAAGTGCTGAAATAATTATGTACGTGATAAACTTGTCGATTTCCTTAACTAAGGCACTTCGAGCCTAAATAGGTACTTTGTACAAGTTGCCTTGTCATTCAGCCAATCGTTTACCTCATTGAGTGACTCTTGAAGGCAGACAAATCCTTCGACCGAAGGCATCGTGTTACTAAACGGAATAATATTTTCAAAAATTAAAATAAACACTATCCATTGACCTATTTCTTTAAGTATGTAAATATAGAGAAATATTCACTATTTTTAGTTTAATTTACTGTTTTTATAGTTTACGATTGATTGATTTTATAATTTTCATGCTGCGAAACGAAGTTAATAGTCTGGAATAACACATAAGTTGCTTCTTATGAACGCGAGCCGGACCGGGGTGGCAGAAACTAGTGAGTTAGTACATACCTTCATCAGTTACCGAGGTATTAGACTTTACCACCTGTTGCTAGGCGCGGGTAAAGGAAAACATTAACAAAGTTCATTCATCTATTTTTAGTTGCTATTCTGATGAATCATACCGGTTTTTACACACGCGTACCGTGTCCTATCAATACTGATTGTGTAAGGGCGTCTTCATTATCTTATGTCGTACCTGTATTCTTCATCTGAAGCAGGTACTCTATTTCTTCTACTTCTATATCGTTGATAATCACCCATAGAATTCGCACCCTCAGCACACCCATATTTCACGTGTCAATTATGTAATAAAACAGCTGTTTAATAAAAAGATAACTTGTATGATAATTATTTATGTTAAAAAATTAGGTATATGATAATTATTTTTATTTTTATTTTACTTGTATAATGATTATATTTATTTTAATTTCTAACTCACAGATGCCTAGCTACTTAACAATATTTTAAAGTTTTCCTTTTGTTTATTGCAAATTTGATTGGCTATAATTAACAAATATTAGATAGAAATCTCTTTCCGTATAATCGTTACCCATATACGTGCTCTAATTAATAAACCATAACAATCGTCTACTCCTTTACCTCTAACATGAGTAACATGAGATACATGATATTTTCACACGTAGATTTGTGGCTTAGTCTTATTATTTCTATTTATCACTTTGAACTCTCCTTACTCATGTTAAAATTCGAATTTTATTATTTCATGAACGATACTTAAATCTGAAATCCAAAACCAAAATTTTAACATGTATGTAAACAAGTTCATCATAGTTCGTCGACAAACTGTCTGCTTAGTTCGAAGTACCCGTGGAGACTGTTGTAAGTGTAGGTAACTACTAGATAAACTGTTTACCAGATATTACTGTCTAAATAAACGTATGTATCTAGGTAATTATACCTAGAGTTACTCACGTATAATAATTATTGGCGAGAACTGTAAGGACACGGTACCCCAATTGTGACAATTAACTTCTATGGGTATGTTACCAAATCTATTTGATATTGTCGAAGCCTTCTGCAATTAGGGAAGAGGTAAAAAAATACTGCTGTTCCAAAGTCTGTAACCATAAACATAACTAAAATATGTAAATAAGACGTGAGTCACACGCGATATTTACATACACGGCAATCAGTTATTGTAAGATATTCTCAGAACTAATTGGCGTAGATGGAAGCTGCTAACTGAAGTTAAGGTAAATGTACAAATATAACATTTTATTACAACTGTTGCATAGAAACTAGATTCCAAGAAGTCACTCGTGCTTTCAGGACATCTAGATCAATGGAGGAACGGTTTTAGTGGTCATTTCAGAATTAATAAAATTAATTCCGAAAAAATCTCTATTCTGGAAGGATTTGCTAAATTTGAGCTTCAAACACCAAGCAGTTTTGGCTGTTCCTTGTTTGTCAGTCAATCGGTAACGGGATGGGGATTTACGATAAGCTCTAGATTCAGCATTTACTGCATCTAACCCTAAATATCACCAAGGCCTACAACTGACCTTTCTTGCAATCAATCTGCGAACACATGTATTCAACAATTTATTTATTCGATGAGATTTATGTTTATGTACTGAACCAGTTTAGACAGTGGCGTCGATTTGGATAAATGCCATTTTATATAAATATGTATCTATGTACAAACTGAAATTTAATACGAATGTTTCTACATAATTTATGGGAGTTTAGTTTTGATAATTACTTATTACAATTACATATTACACACCGGCAAATGTCTCATTATTTCTACGAGTGTTTATATTAAGAAACCTCCTAAAATTCATGTGTTTTCGGCTGACATTAGTCCTGATGATCGAGTATTACAATACTCGCCGCCTTTTGTTCCGTTAGTCCGCCGCTAATTCTGTTGGTGACGCGCACGCGCCGGTCTATTTCAGGGTTTCAAGTGCTGGCGCCCTCGACTGTGCTGCTGTTCTAACGTGTTGCAATATACTTCGGTCCGTTTCAACAAGAATCACTGTAATTTATAGAGATTGGAATGTACAATCATTGCATATTTTTATTATATGAAGATACTTGAATTAAATTATGGATAAGTAGATGAACAATTTTGTTTCCTCATTTCGGGTATCATCAACGTAAATTATACGAATATTTTTGCACGGCAACCTGCTCGCACGCTGAACTCGCAAGGGAACAACCTACTGAACTTGTCGTGTACAATAAAATCCTTGAAGGAGATGTAGAAACGACCACCTTACATTGTCTGTGTGTGAACTGTGACGCATACCGGCGCCCGCGCATGTTTATTGTTGAATAGGTACCTATAACTTTTATTTTTAAGAATTTTGCGGTGTGATTGGTGGAAAAGTTCAGTTGAGACATCGAACATGTTATTAATTAAAACGTAGTAGCCTTATTTTTGTTCCATCGGCATATTGGCCCATTTTGCCAGTGGTATTATAAGTCCAATTGAGAGAAACTCGGAGTTGACGTTGCGATATTTAATAATAAATAGAATCTACGATTTCGTATGACGTACGTACGTAGGCAAGGCATGCAATTGAAAAAAAGCATTAGAGTAATATTTGTCACGCGTGGTTAATTCTATGACAATCATTGTGGCGTTTCGACTAGGTTGGTACCTACTGCCGGTCATTGAAAAGAATCAGTCAGTTGTCTGTAAGTTAGAATATGTCCATTAATATTTATAATTAAATTAAACCGTTTTCGCATTCGGTAAACTTAATGCTCAGACTTAATGTTAGAACTTTTAATCTTTTAATTATAGAAGTTTGAATATACTAGATCTTTAGCTTTTGAACTATCTGGAATCGCTACCCCAGTTACGTAATAATACCTCCATAATACCTCCATTTTCCTCAACGTAATATATAAGAAAGTACACAGGTATATGCTCGCATTGTGTTTAGAGGATTATTATAAAAAAAACAGGAAAATGTATCTTTATTCTCTTATTTAACTTATCTATTTTCCTTATCGATTTGTTGAGATACCTTAGCAATACGAGACTAGTTTTTCCTTAGTAATTTCTGACACCTTGAACTCTGGGAGAATTTTCTGTGGGATATACAGCCCAACACCGTTTTGGACTAAGAATCTCAGGTATCTCTAAGCCAATCTCAATCGTTTTTGAAAGCAGTAAGATTGTTAATACATATTAGTAAGACAAATAATTTATGGTTAGCGGTTATACTTAATTGAAGTGTCTATGTAAATTGCCATAATCCTAACGCTTGGCAGGCACCTTGGGGATAATGGTAAACGACGTCGAGACGGTGGACCGACGACATCGTCAGAATCGCGGGAGACCAATGGACGCAAGTTGCGAGTTGTTCGTGAGGACTAAGCAAGGTCTTTGTTTACCAGTGGACGTCCATCGTCTGATGATGGTGAACTTACATTAATCAGCAAAGGCTAAAAACCTTTACATATATGTAAATAAAATTGTAACCTTTGTACTGTAACTAAACTCTTGACCATGATTTCTCATAATAACTAAGCACAGTTTATTTTGTTGATCTTTGCGTTTGAACACACCACTGTTTGTATTCGATAGTTTAATTAGTATAATAGACAATGTTTTTGCGTACAGAGCTGACATTACGTCATTACATAAATTAAAAATAGAAGATCATTGAACGTTACTCAAACGTCAATATTGAGACAGGCTGGGCTGTCACGTGTAAAAATAAGTGTAGTACTGCCGTGTCTCGTCCTTCTGGCCAGTTTGTATATTCTGTTTTTTACACGTGATTGTACTTAAGTAAATAATAATATTAGAATATACATGATTTTTTTAAGGTGAAACAATTTTCTTGCTTTGGGTGGGGTGGGAGTAGGGTTACCATGTTTCAGGATTGCCGCCCGATTTTACAAATATCTTAAAATCTCAGGACTTTCAATAAACACAGGTTACAGTTTGAAGATTCCCTTAATAATTAAACTTAAACCAACTTAAAACAATCTTCTTTTGGTAATAACTATTGCAATTATGTAACGTTTATACTTATAATATATCCAAGTAAAATAAACTAAAAGCAATGTTTTTTCGTAGTAATTGAAGTTAAAATCTACACTTATTTACCCAACAAGTATTAAATGTCAATTTCCATAGAAATCAGGCCATAGCGATTGTCAGACTCTTAAAACCACCCCGTTCCTTCTTCTGCTTAAGGGTTATGTTACTCCGCTTGCACCTTGCACCCACAACCTCTGGGCGTATACACGATAAAATAATAATTTAAGCAATCATCATCTCATCATCATCTTTCTGCCCTTGTCCCGTTTTATTTGGGGTCGGCGCAATATGTTTTTTTCTTCCATTCTGTCCTGTCACTCGTCACGCTATCGCTAACTCCTCTGTCTTCCATATCACTTCTCACACAATCCATCCATATTTTCTTTGGTCTCCCCCTGCCTCTCCATCCATCCACATTTATACACATGACTTTTTTTGTTACATGCTTTTCATCCCTCCTTTTCACATGGCCATACCAAGACAAACGGTTCCCTTTCAACTTTTCAGTCACTGGCGCCACTTTCAAAAATAATTTAAGCAATCAATTAGACAAAAACAAGTACCGCCGTTTGCGTTTAATTTGATAAATAATTGTCTAATTTTGCATATTCTTTCTAATATCAATGTATACTGGTCATTTAGATCATTTTGTATTCCATTGATCTGTTTCCGTGCCATGTAGCCACAACTCACAGAAAACAATCAAACGACAGCTAATACAACAGTACATGCCGTGCCTACGTACAATTTCAATGCAATAATTACTCGTGCCTATTACTGCAGTACTAGTAGTACGTAGTCATTTTTTACATGCATTTGTTGACAACTGTATTGTAATCTAATGCATTGTTGCTAAACATTTTATGCCATGAACTTTTATCCATCATACATGAGTGAATTGAATGTGGCGAACATAAGAGAATTAACGCTTAGTGACAATTTATTCATATTTATTCATATTGTTATAAGATCAGTATAATCTTAATACTTAACATAGTTACCTTAATAAATTATATTTGAATATATGTCACTTCTGATAATATTTACATTTGTTTACACTTTTTCAATGAACTCGTCACAGTCCACTACAATTAGTAGTGATTTACCAAAATTTTCACAAAATGTGCACGCGAAATATGTAAATATCTAACGTATGGGCGCCAGCACAACAACCTAATTCAATCTGTGTATATATGTATAACTTTATGAAAAAGATTATTTTAGAAGCATTTAAAGACTAGCAAATTATTTCTTTAAAATTAAGCTTGACGTTCAAAAGTGCCTGTAAAGGTCTAACTGAACGTGGAAATATTGTTTTATGTCAAATAAAAAAATTGATTAAACTTTGACTTTTTACGCTACATTTTTCCTGTATAATTTTCGCTTATAAATAAATTACCGTTTAACTTGCTATATCTACATTAAAATGGTATTTACAGTAAATTAAATAATGGGTTCCAACGTTACACAGAATACACTTTACAAATGATCACATACTTCAATTATTATAAGGTAAACATACAGGCCTACACATACTTATGTGGGACATAACTCGTCACTCGAACAATTTGACTAATGCTTACAAAAAATCCATACAATATGTGAGAACACAAATATTATGTACTGTATGATGTAATAAATATAAGCGTCATAATAATTGTTATGTGATAATGTGTGAGTAAATATAATCTAAATTATGGGTGTATCTAAGCACCGATATTGCCTATGTACAAGTTAAAACGTTACGTTTTTGTAGGTATTAAGAATTATTATTAAGACCCTATATTTAATCATTATAGTCACTTGAGAAAAAGAATACAATAATATTATACGAGAAGATTAAGTAAAACTACTGCGAAAGATCAAACTCATTACATTAGTACTTAAAGATATAGCTAAGAGGTAACTTAAAATAGGAATAACTTTAGAAGCCCCGCTCGCTAACTTCTAAGTTGTATCAATAGCATCTACAATGTATTATTATTGTATTATATATCTTTAATAGAGTGCGAATGCCCTATTTTTACAATACAAGTGAACTGCAAAACAACGTATGTATTTATCTTATAAAAAGCAAAATTTTCACTGACACGATTGGCGTTTATACAAATATCATACGCTTATCAACACCCGATATTACTTTGATTTCGAGACCTATTCTAGAAACCCTTAAATGCCACTTGAAATTGAATTAATCATAACGAATAAGTCTTTATACAACTATAGCTAATTAGACTGAATGCGAGTCATTCCCTCCACTTAGTTACTGTCTTAGTGTAAGTGCACTACCTGATATAATCCTGATCTATTTTAATACATCATTGGAATTGCAATGTTCACGTTGTGTTGCAATATCGTGTGCGCCGTGGCAACACACGTGACAAGTAATCGAGGATAATAATAATTATACCTTTAACTAAGACATACAAACTATTCATGAAGATATGTAGTAACATAGATAACTTAGAATTGTTATAAATCTGTCTGTATGCTATGTTTATTTAAGAGGGTTTTTTTAAGGATGACATAGGTATAGTTTTTGTAATTAATAACTTCGTTTGGGTTAAAATAAGTTAAAGTGGTATATAGAGGAAACGCCGTCCTCTATTATGTAGTATGTATCAGCAGAAAAGCATAAAACCTTAAAATCCTACCTTTTCACATACAAATCTTTATTCCCTTGCGTAAATTGGTCACGAATACTTATTGCAGTATTCCACACGTAGCGGATTTACGAGTTTTGAAGGAAAACCATTCCTATGTTTGTTATGAGATTGACTATAATAGTTACTATTAATGTGTTTAATAAAACTTATTGTTTTAAAGTAAAATTCACGGAAAATCCTTTTTTTGTATTTTCTTGTATTTTCCTACCTTAATCGTCCATATTTAATTCTTGCATGCATTGGTACGTTTAAGTGTCCGATATGGCAGACGGTGAACTAGAAGAATAATACGAATAAGAAGTTTATTGTGATTAGCTTTAAAAACAGCATAGATAGACAGACATGCGCAAACTTGTTGTATACCTACTTGAAATTGAAAAATAAAATGCTGTGATAATAGTCCAATTATCTCCTTATAATCTGGTTCATTCAGTCACCTACTGAAGTAAGAAATTCCTTTAACAAAACAGCAGTGCTGTTATGCACACAGATTCTTTTGTTCAGGAAGCGACGAAAGTATTTTTACGGAATAACTTCATAAACTGAATTAATTTAGCATGTTAATATCTGAGCACACGGTTCCGTTTTGGAATGCGCAGGCGCTTAGGAATTAACAAGCCGATCGCTGCGTGAATGCATTGTTAAATAGGTCGATATAATCTGATTATTTTTGGAACAGCCAACTCGCCATCAAATAAATACTTTAGGAATAGTCCGTATTTCCATCTGCAGATTTTCAAACAAGCAATGCTTACATTAAATATTTTTGTTCACAGATTTCGCTATGAGTGTGAAGGCCGGTCAGCGGGATCTATTCCCGGAGTGAACAGTACGTCAGATAACAAGACTTACCCTACAATTAAGATATGCGGATACACAGGACAGGTGGTTATTGTCGTGTCTTGTGTTACCAAAGATGAACCTTACAGGTAAGAATAACTTATAAGGAAGAACTTTACACACTATCATTTAAGTAACAACATTTTTAAATTCTCTTGGCATTCATTCTGGCTCCGAAATTTACTCGATGTGTTTTGATGAGAGATGCATAAGCTATGTTATGAAACTGATATAATTGAAAGCACTTACTACTGTTCCGACAATTCACAATGCCTACAAATGTTTATTCACTTTTAAGTATTTTATTTATGCTTCATGCAGAATTTACCATTGTGGTCTCTGCGCCATAAACTGGTAGGCCAGACATAATGCAGACACTGTTTGACTTGCTTTACGTAATAAATATATTTAAACTGCTTTTAAAAGTACACCAGAGCTTCTATATAGTTGCTATGTTAAATTTAGAATATTTTCTCGTCAGTTGCCTTAATTGGCCGTTATTAGTACTACTTTGACATTCTATGTATAATGAAACATAGAATTTATTATTGCAAATAGGCCATAAAACGGTACTTTTACACGTCAAATTATATATGAAAAACTAGATGTAGCCGGCATTTTCTATCTGACTACTCTGAGAAGAAATGCCTAAACAAACTCAGAGGTATATTCCTGAATTAAATAAAGAATAAAATTAAACAAGAATATTAAAAACCTTTCTGTAACCACCACATCTCAATGACTGTAGCTCTTATGGATACTATTCAGGAACATCGAAATATTATGTAATACAAACATTATGAATAAAGTAGCTGGTTGCCATATTACAACTTTTTTAAGTACTAAGTACTTGCTTCGGTATGTTCATAAACAAACTTATTTTAGGGCACACCCCCACAACTTGGTGGGTCGAGAACGCTGCGAGAGGGGGGTGTGTACGATCCCCCTTCGCGTCACAGAGGAGACATGCGAGTACCAGTTCAAGAACCTCGGCATCCAGTGCGTGAAGCGACGTGACATCGCGGAGGCCCTCACCATCAGGGAGAAACTTAGGGTGGATCCCTTTAGAAGTAAGTTATTTCTTTTAAACCTAACTCAAAGATTTGATTTATATCCTGACCACGTTTCAAGGACTATTTTTCGCATACGAATTTATGGCCAGGCTATTTGTGAGGTTTGTCTTTGCGGGTCGAACCCGTATACTCAGTAGGCGCTGTTTGCCTAGTCATAGACTGGCACGCTAAAAATTGCTCAAAATTTTCTACTTCATTTACAAGTTACACAAGAAAAAGGAATTATTCTGGTCATGGCTAGTGTTAAAAGTTAGGCATTAAGTTCACCCTAACCCAATTATCAGATATTAAATGTTAGGGAAAATATTTAGTTATAATTCCGCGACAAAAATCCAGGCTTGTTGCAGGATGCAATCCCACTCCTATGCAATCATGCATATGCACATGCAGCAAGGGTCCCACCCTCCCGCCCACATGCATATGCACACATACACAAAACGGAAAAACATGCCACGCAATCAATTGCTGCATGTGCATATGCATGATTGCATAGGAGTGGGATTGCATCCTGCAACAAGCCTGGATTTTTGTCGCGGAATTATAACTAAATATTTTCCCTAACATTTAATGTCATGGATTTCCGCAAAGTAACGCCTGATTCTATAAATTATCCAATTATCAGATACACAACGTAGGTATATGTATACAATATTTATATATAAGATACCTTGTGAAGATATTAAACGAATTGTCCTTCCTTGTAAAGAGTGTCATGCATAATGTTCTGGCCGTTGAACTGACACACAGAACAGAACCATAGATAAATAATAAAGTATGGCGTGCACGTGCACTTAAACAGCGCGGGTTCATATCGAATGTATAAATAAAAACTGTGGTTACCTTCGTTATTTCGCAGAACATATAATTATAGGCTTAAATATTTTCATCAACAAAGATGGACTCTGTCCATATCTCTTAGTAAGTTATTATTTATACCGAGACACAATTAAATTAATTGCTTCTAAAAATATAGCTTGTCGATACTGTAATTAATTAATCAAACGAAAGTTATATAGGAACTTGATGTTAAGGAACCCATATCTTTTGTAGTCGTTTCACTTGAGCGATGAGGACCAATGTCATTTGATGACGTGTTCGTATTTCGAGATCCGAGCGAGTTGACGTCATGGATAGCAATGAGTTTCAAACAAACTGCGTTTAAATACTCCGTTTTGTAATATGGGCCAAAAAATTAATCATAGGTAATGTTTAGATATGTATATCACTACAGGTCTATTAAATAACGTTTTAAACTTTTCCGTTTATTACAACATTATTTATGTTTTTATTATGACGCGTACATATCGTCAATAAGATAATCTTAAATTGAGACTTTGAGACGAATACGAAACTGCCTACTGTCATAAATTGTGTATTTTTTTAAACAATGTCTAATTGTCACGTTTCCCTATTTTTCATTTGCATCTTAGTTAAGAATTATTAAGATGACCGGCTTATTACAAAACTGTGTGATTGGAATGACAGACAAGCCTTAAACAGTTGAACCTGGGTAATTCACATTTGTAAACCCGTGCTTATGAATTGTGTACTCAATTTATTAGACCGATTTACATTATTTTAAAATTTCCAAGCACCACCAATAATTTTTATCAGTAGGTAGGTAATATTTATACCAATTTCTTTTAGAGTTTTCTTTTTTAAGTAAAATAAGTTCTTGATTTCCTCAGTGCCCCCGTCCGCGGCCATTCATCGCAACATAGTATTGTGCTCCAATGTCGCATAATTACACGTTCCACCAGTCGCTCAAGGTCGGTCGATGACCTCTTCTTTGTCTCAGAGCTTTACTATTTACCTATACATGTAGGCTAAATCTCATAAACTATAGTCATCTACTAGTTTCCCTATACTTAAAAAAATGAAATGTACTTACTTTTGACGTTAGCTTATCTGACATTGGCTTGATAGGTTTGGATAATAGGTTAACAACCATTTCTTCAGGGGTATCTTTGCCAAAATGCCGATAATTTTTTTCTTAATGGCCTTCCTTTCAACCCCGAAAAAGCGAATTAAGCAAACAGTATTCAGTAAATAATATGTAGTTAGTTGTATTTTTTCATGGCACTAAAACATGGCTTTCACTTATTAAGGTATAATAAAATATTCTATCTGATGAACCTTCAACCAGTTGTCAACTTGTTGTTAAGGCTTCGTTATCGTGTCGAGTGTGAAAAACTTGTTCTGCGCAACGTAAGTTTACCTCAGTTCAGATCACTTACATATTTGGAAATACAGCAGCTATCGCTTGCATGTTTTCCCTTAAGGAAAATAATAAAAAATGTTACAATGCAGTAACTTAGTAAAGACCTTATGTTATTTTATTTGCCCATATAATAATTTCATGCCATCCCGGTCTCTTTCAAATGCGTATAGAGCTCGTAACAATTGTAAGTTTTAGTCATACTTGACACACTTACAGAGCATGTCTGACGGATAAACATGAAATAAATGCGTACGTGAAACCGTCAGCAAATAAAAAACGTAGTAGAATGTTTGTTTGTCAACTTTTCATTACAACAAACATTGGTAAAAACCACTCACGCTTCAGTTGTAAAGTGATAAAACTAAGTACGTACCTACGTATGAGTGATGCGAAAGCTAGCCAATAAACAGCGTGTCGTTACACTTTTTATAATTATCATTCATCAGATAAGGTATCATTTCAGTATCGCTATCGCGACCATTGACTTTGTTCATTGATGTATGTATGTATAATAATTAAGAGCGTAATTCGCACATTGACATGGCGCCTTCATGGGGAAAGCCTATCTTCGGCTTTACTATCGGACTTGGGCATTTCCACCTACAAGGAGATAAGGTTCTAATTACCCATCGTGGGAATACCTAGCATACGTAAAAATGAAAATATTGACAAATGTAATTATAGTAATACAAATGGCTCAGTGCTGATAAAATAATATGAAAAGCCGAACCTTCTTAAGCCAGCTCGGTTATGACAAATCACTTGGATAATAATTATTAAAAAGATAATTATAAAATAAATATAAAAATTATCAGATTTATGTATTTAATCAATTGAGCACATGAATGTTGTATAGGTATAGACAGATTTTGTGTATTTCCAGAAAAATATCTTTAAACACAGACTTAGAGATCTTATCTATAATTTATTTCCACCTATTTATTAATAACTTTTTTTTTATTACTAATACAAATTGGGATATTCCCAATTAGGGCCACGTTTGTTTCTTACTTTTCAATAACAGTATATCTATATCGAATGCTCTTTACATTGGTGACACATAGGCGCTTGTTTTATAGTTACGTTTAGCAGACTTATGAAATACTGTGCGCATACCAGTATCAAAATAAACCAGATATATTTACTGGCAGGCAGAGTGCATGTGCACCCAGATAGGCCGAGGTCTAGGGTTAAATGTGAAGTTCATATTAATTACGTTGAAACTAGCATGGGAAATAAATTCAACATTTATATTGTCATTCACATTCTTTTTGCCAAATACATAGATAGAAATTGCATCAGTGCAACTTTTGTATATAAACTAGGTATAATGAATAGAATGTTGCTTAAAAAGGGCTACACAGATATTTTCTTCTGTCGGCCAATGTGATATAGATTGTAGTAAGTTGTTACGTAATGTTGTACCCAAAAAATTGAATATGAAACGATCTAACTATTATGTAGTAATTATGTACTTTCATCGTTTTTAAAAAAGGTAAAATAATCACAAATACATTTAAGTCTAGTTAGAAAGCCTCCCTTGTTAGTGCCTATATTTGCAGCGTCGCCGTCGACGAATAGGACGGAAATTGTTACACGAGCTTTGCAATAGACTTTACCTATTTTATTAAACTTTTAATTTAGGTTTAATGAAAGAATTTATGCATTTGTTAACAAAATTGCTTTTCATACGATTTATTCGAATTCGCACTAGATTTGCTATTGGTAAGGCATTACTTATAATACGTATCAAACAATAATTAGCTCCAAAAACATCTACTGAAATTGTATGAATACGTACGCAGGTGAATATAATTATTACTACCTACTAGGGAACCCAGAATTATTGATTGTTATCCTTAGAACCTTAAAACTAAGTAATTCTTAATACTATAATTTCTTATTCTTAATAATAATTGAGTGCCTTGTTATAGTGGAAAAATAAGTAACGATATGTTTTAAACAAATCAATCTGTATTTTAGAGGACACAAGAACATCAGTTTACAAGTTGTGTGTGTTCCATTCGCCGGTAAAACTGTATAGCGTGAAATTGTAAATAATGAATAAGAAAGTAAGTAGTAACAAAGTAATGTTGTTATATACAAACTTATCTGTTTCAGAAAACAGGTAATTAAAATGGTGAGATTTTTTAACAAAGTAGTTTTAATTCAGCAGAATGATAAAAAATAGGTAAAATAGAACCACTAGTAATGGATCTTTTGAACAAGATTTTGTGCCCAATTCAATCGATTCATGTTCATCGAGTCATTCAGTCTCATGTTACGTAACAATTGACTTTTCCCGCTTATCGACGTTACAAGTTGTGATGCAATGATCCGGAATAGCATACGCGTGAACGTATCACCGGATGCGGCTTTATAAACATTGGATTTACTAAAAACAAAGTAAAGTCTTCGTAATAAAATCGTTACTTATTATCTTTACAAGATCTGAATGATGTCAGCGTTCTAGCTGTCGTAGAGGTACAATTACTATAACACATTTTTGGACACAGACCTCACAAACCTACTATGTTAATTTAATAAAAAAATTGCTTATGGCAGCGATTTTGCTTCTTATACCCCAGGGTAAAAAGCATGCTACGCGTGATTCCATATCTACATAGTATTCTACCTATCTCTGTTTGTAATTTTTGCCCGAAAGAGAAACAATTTATCCATTCATATTTATTTGATGATGATGAATAAGGTAACTAATATGATCGTTTGAAATAAGAAACCTAGTTAACAAAATGTCTAGATATCGGCCGACCAACATCGATACGTTTGACTGGAATAGCTGCATACAATGCAAATTGAACTTTGCTGCCTTGAATTTAAGATCCAGTCTTAGTAAATACACTGCCTGCCATAGTTACAGAAATAGCCGAGCGCCCAGAAATATCCATAAACCGCGCCCGGCCTCTTTCAGCGACCTATTAACCTGTTAAAGATCTAATAAATATATTCATCTCCTTTTCACTGCTGTAGCTGAGTTAATTATTCTGTAGAGAAGACTCAAGATCTTTTGAAAACAATAATAATGTTTAATATGCTTATGCTTATGAAGAAGCACTAATATTATAAAGAAAATATATCCTTTGAAATTTCGTAGGAATTGAATAGGTATTACCTACAGGGGAACACGATACATATTACAAATGTGTTATTTTGACCTAAATGACTTCAATAAATAAAATAATGAATGCAACAGGAAAACTCAGTGCAAAATACAGCACGAGATGGGAAAGCTTCAATTCGGCGCCACGGCATCACAGCAGCGCGTGCTTGCACGCCAAGTCGACAACCGGTTTTGGCTCACGATTGTAAATAATTACTGGTTGAGTTGACCTGTCATTTAGGCTATGTAATCATTTAATTTTGTCATGATATGCCTTGTAGTATTTAAATTAGACTATTTTTAAAGAACAACATTAGAGTTTCTTGCTTCTTCTTCTTCATACGAATATTCACTTTGGATTGGGATTATAATTTGACATAACATATGATTCGACATAACGATATCTTAATCTTATGCTGTGTTATTTATTACTAGTCATAGTGACGCTTAATTTTTAAAGTGTAAACAAAAATGAGAATGGTGGGCACCGCGCCAAATGATACGACGACCTGTAAAAGGTAGCTGGTTCAACGCCGAATGCGGAAGGTTCGAAATCGAGTGTTGTTGCCAACTGATATATCCCTTGAAGGCCCTAGCAAGACTTCAATAGCTTAGTAAAAGAAAACAATTCATTTATTTTCACAAAATAATATTATGATATATTCAAATATTTCTTAATACAATATGTTGGCATAGGTACCTATAGTACGTGTTATGCAAAAGTCAGTAACATGGTAACATATTTTATGTTTTATAATTTGTGTTCAAGTACCAAAACAACCTCGTGTGATGCTGTGTACACTACACAGATGAAGCAGTGGCTACTATTTCCGCGTCAATCAAATATTTGTTCGTCGCTATGTTAGTGTATGAGATTATAATTATTGTGTTTATACGAAAATTCTTTACTAAGTAGTGTTAAGGTAAATCTTCAAGTTTGAATTATTACAATTATTGAAGGTCTGTGTCTGTATATCTTGGTAGCAGTGTCCCTTATATTAATCATTGATCTACTTGTCAAAATTCTTATAAGTATTAAAGTCTATTAAACAATTTTAACCAAAAATTACGCTAATTCAGTGGTAGACAATGAACATTTCGATCGGACAAAGTGCGTCAGAGCGACGTATTTATTTGTTTACTTTATAACCGCGCGCGTATAAGTCGCAGGTGACTGTCTAGGTTAGCGTTAATTCATCGGTCATCGTTACTGTTATGGCGGGCAACAGTGTTGAGTGAAAGTGGCTTGGGAAACCCCACTCTGACGTCAATGCCATAGTAATGGAATTTTGATTAACGACTCTATTTTCAAAATGCATGTATGTAGAATATAATGGGAATGTGAATATATTTCTTAAACGTTCAAATCAGATCCGCAGTTGTGGGTTATTCCAGAATTGCCCAACTTTATGATGAAAGTACACCTTTCTAATATCTTGCGTGAAGTATTACGTGGAGAATTAATATGTTACCTTGCCGGACTATTGCTTGTAATCGAGACCACGGAATATCCTGCATCTGTAACCCAGATGCAGAAGTTAATTTAATTACGCATTAATGACATTAAACTTCATTTTCGTTTTAGATCTTTAAGAAGCCCAGAAAGAGTTGTGCTCTGTAAAGCATGTGTTTTTATTCAATACATTTTCTAAAATTTGCTCAAGTTTTTAAACAAACCTTTTCATTATACCCTGTACAAATCCTGTAAAAGTACTAGACCTGCACGGTTAAAGAATATTAACATTGAGGTAAATATTAACGTTACACGTCTTTCTTTATCCAGGGTTACGTTTTCCACGTACTTATAATATTAATTTTATAATTTATAAACTTGTTACCTGTAACTATGGAACTGCCTAGTAACTATCAGCAACAGGTAAAATCTACCTATATGTAAGAAGAAATTATAATTAAATAACCTATATACGTAGCTAGGTATGACCTCTTATATTCACAAGGTTAAACCAAGATATTTTAATAATAAATACAATTATCTATCCCTGCCTGACCCAGTTTTTGCAAATGGAGATATCACTGTGCATAGGGTTCGAACTATCATCGCTGACGACAAATATTGCCCATAAACCTGACATTGTGATAAAAGATCGATCAGACCATCGTAAATGGTGGACATACCGTTATTTTGGGAGGTTTATCGTTAATGTTTTAATTTTTTTCGATTACATTGTACACGCAGGCTGAATAGGTCCGCGGTGGTATATATCTTATGGATGATCCGTAATAATCTTTTTGGTCATATACATTTTGCGACAAATAGTGGCTTTTTTACATAATAATCTACTTATTTACCTCCACCTCGTTTTCCACCCAACAAAACAGTTTTCTAATAACTAATTATGACGTTTTTTCAGAAAACTTTGATCACAAGAACCATCCTCAAAGCATCGACTTGAACGCGGTGCGACTATGTTTCCAAGTGTTCTTGCCGGACGAGACAGGGCGACTACGGCGTCCCTTGACGCCTGTCGTGTCGGATGTCATCTACGACAAAAAAGCCATGAGCGACCTGCTCATCATGCGGTCCAGCCACTGTTCTGGGCCGGCAAAAGGCGGGACTCAAGTTATCTTACTTTGTGAGAAGGTGAGAGCACTTATTTTGTTTTAAACTTAAAATCAATCGGTAACATTTCCGTGATTATTGTTTTGGGATCCTTATAGTACTTCTGATCCCAAAGTAAAAGATAAAAAATATCTCCATGTGTTTTCTAGATTGGTCTCATATCAGAATATCGTACTTACAATAAATAATTTTATGCGTTTTCAAGGTGACCCGAGAAGACATCGAAGTAGTTTTCTACCAGGAAGAAGACGGTATTGTTGTCTGGGAAGAGACTGCAATCAGGATCCTGGTACACAAACAAGTGGCTATTGCTTTTGAGACGCCAGCCTACAAGTACCCGAATACTACCGACCACGTTAATGTTAGTACTGCAACAACTTACCTAGAATTACTAAAATATACAAATCGCTACCAAATTTAAAGCACGGCGTGTTAAACGGATTTCTTGTTATTTTTAGGTGTACTTCCAGCTGAAGAGGCTGTCGGACAACGCCCGCAGCAACTCACTGCCGTTCGAGTACTACCCCGATTTCTCAGGTAGCGCGCGTAAACCTCTTCCAGACCTGTCTCTGTTCTCGCTGCTCCTCAACGAGAAGCGGACAGACACCAATAACAACAAACAAGACAAAACCGAAGTCGTTAGCTCTACCACTGATAGTTACAGCGTGTCCGATGACACTGACACCGCGCAGGTTACCGACACCGACGTTAATGGCAACCCACAGGTTACCGACGTCGAGATCATCGACACCAACGAGAAGAGTCTAAATGAACTTCTCGATCAGGTAGCGGAGTTAGATGAAATATACTCAGAGAACCGCACGCGCCTCGAAAACATATCTTCATTAACGAACAATAGTGAAGATATAGAGGATTTCAATGACGCGGGCACTTACACCAGTTTGCAACTCGCTTTCAAAAACCCTGTAGAGATATCTGAACCTGACCCGATGTCGTATGAAGATGTCCAAGTTCAGACGTATCGCGGCCCTATCATTGAATTTAGTCCACTAAAACGCGATACAGATGATGAGCGCGCACCCCCGTTACCTCCCAAACGCGTCCGTAAAGCTGCATCTACCGAACCTTTCAAAACTAGTCAGACTTCGGTCGATAGTATCTTAAAACCTGGGCGACAGATACCCGTCACCCGCAACCCAGACCATCTGAAAATAAACTCTGAGATGACCGTAGCCAAGAGTGAACCCGCTTTACCGCCGGTCAAGAAGCGTTCGTTCTTTTCGCGACTATTTAGAAGAAAGGAGAAATCACCTGCCCCCAGTGTTAAATCTGAGGGTAGGAAAGAGGCAAAGAGTAAACCTGTAGGTCGTTCTGTGAGCAGTGTCTCGGGGGTGCGTCCTTCGAAGTTTAAGTCATCAGTGTCTCACACCTCTTTGAAAGACAACGCTTCTGGCACAGGCCTCAGTTATGCCGATAGTATCACACATATTTCTCTACACGGAGATGACAATGAGAAGTCCACATCTCAGTCTTCTTTGCGTCGTCCTGCCAGTTTAGCTCCGCTGCCTCCAACAGACGGCGGCACTATTTTAGTGGCAGAAAGTGTGCTCGCTTTAGACGCGTCCCAGTTTAAAAAGCTGCAAGATGATTTAGATTTGACTGACGCGGAGCACTACGCGTTGTATATGGCCGTTGCCCCACACGCGACAGTTTCTGAATTTGATGAAACTAGTTGCTATTACTCGCCCGTAGATGGCAGCAAATTTCAAAATAATTAATCGGCAGATAGTGACTTGGTCATCAAATTGACAGAGCTGCACAATTAATTGGTACAAGTCAGCCGATACTTGTACTAGTTTCCCATCCCAATGCCAAAAATCTATCACATTTTTACAGGTTTTTGACGTATTTACATGGTTTTCTATTATTTTCGTATCCTAACTAATTTGTTAACCATTTTACACTGCTATTTTTTGCAGCCATTTTTATTAAAATCTTCTTGGTAACAAGTTAAATTGTGTCTACTGTTATATATTTATCAATATTTGTGTAATAATATTGCCAACTTAATGTTCTAGAGATGAATATTAAGAAGCGGAAGATGGTAAACGACACGTTACGAAACTACGATCTTGAAAGTAAGTTCGGGTTTATAAACTTTGTATTATTTATTTACATGTGTCTGTGCAGGGTGTCTGGCGTTAACATTTGTTTCAAATCTACATTCATCATTAGTTAGTCAATGATTTATTATTATAATATTTTTACACAAATTTGCACAAACCCATTAATATTGCGTCATGCACCCTGTACCTATATTTATTTATTTAGGGTTGATTTGGTGAAAGGGATAATCATGTGTCGTTGGTGTAACATGTGATCATATGTCGTGTTTATTTATCATTTATTAGGGACTGGTCATGATTTACTGTTGAGTCAAGGCTACGGTGTGGAGGTTACAAATCATTGATTATGACGTAACATTATTTTATATTTATTGTCTGTAGGTTAGATCTGATTTCGATAAGTATTTGTGAATTGACTAACATCCATTAATTAGGTATAAGTAGTACAAGTATTGATATTATTAACATAAATGTATTTTATATAAAAATAATTAGTATTATGGATATATTGACAACGGCACGTTCTTTGCAGTGTTGAAAATATTGTTATGTTGCAACATGTTTGAGTATTTACGTCAACGTCTTTATATCGTAGTTGTAAAGGCAATTTTCAAATATCGACCAGTGTTGTACAATGTCCTGTAAACATCTGCTAACCAGCTCTTGTATTGCGCGTAGCATTTGTGTCGGCCTTAAGGTCGCAAATTAAATCATTAATACTTATTTTTACTTAATATTTAATACTAACTGTAAGGTGAAGAGTCATTTAAAATAGGTATGGCAAGGATTATAATGGGTGAATTTTACATGTTTCTTTTTACCAGTTTTTAAAAATCTAATATCTGTTAGTACAGGTAGTTACAAACTTAATTTATGGAACTATTTGTCTTATGCGAGTGTCTAGTCGTCTATTTAGTTAAAGTCCTTTTTTGTTACTATTTATTTTAGTTGTTCATTCGTTAATATTTAAAAAAATCTATTGGGCGTTTTGTTATTTTGTTAAGAAAGTTTATTATAGAACAGGGTCGGATTCCATCAAGTAGGTAGTTAATAAAATAGGATTTTTTTAATAATTAGTTATTTAGATATTCGACCCTGATTATGAATTACGTGGTAATGAAAATGCAGCTATGGTCATGTATAGCATGCAAGTTTCAACCATAATACACATTAACTTCACATAACTGATTGAGCTAATGTGGATATGTGTGTAAAGGAAGTCTAGTATGAGTACAACAACAAGCTAAACATAAACACTTTTCACCAAAGAATTTCAATTCAAGAACATTAAAACAGGAGTTGAGTGAATGGATTTTGTGATCACTCAAATTATAATGATGCGTACTTAACTTTGATTGTCAGTAGTTTCTATTATTATTCTGATTACATTGATACCCTATCATATTTTACATAATATTATGTAACTTCGTATGGTGTTTTCATCAGCGTCATCAAGATCAATATGATGAGATTTATTTTTTAACAATTCATGATGAAAACATCATATATGAATGTTTGGGTACAGCTTTGAGTACTATTAAGGTATATAAATTAAACATATCTTTGAAATTGTATGTACTAGATAAAGTTTTAGATGAATTTACAAATTATTAATACCAGTGTTGTTTGGATTGTAGCGGCTCAGCCGAAAGCGTTGTCAAAATTTAATTTAGTCAAAGGCTTAACTTTCGTTATGCAGCCAAGCTGTCGGTCAATTTGTCCCGTATTACATACATTAAAAAACCAACAATATTCTTGCATTTGTATATTTTAATAAATTACGTAAACAGTTTTGTAAAGTTTCTGTAAACGATTAGAGTTGGATAGCAAAGCTTGATTTGATGCGAAATTCTATATTAATATGCTAATAAAATATGTGGGTTTTATTTACTTGTTCATGGAACCCCAAAACCCCCGAATGGTGTCAGAGGTACGGAAACTTTCATGTAGCATGGTATTGATGTTTTCTTTTTCGTTATTTTGAGCTTGTTTCTTTTTTGTTTTTTTTTTTTCACACATATTCATATTAGCTGTACTTTAGTGTAATTACTTATTGGTGGACATTTTATATGCATGATTTATATTTTTGCGTCGGTTTATGTACCTAGAATTATTTTTTCAGAAGGCAATTGGCACATTTATTTACAGTTTAATGAAATTCTTTTGTAATATATTTATACACAATTACTTGCAAAAAAAAAGTAAATTTTGCAAGTGATTGTAGTTCTAAGTAGATTAGAATTAACCTTATTTCTGCATGATGTTTTTGTGTTTTTTTATGTTGTATTTATATTGTATTTTGCGTGTAGTATATTTTGAAAATTAATAAATTAATGTTTTCAGGAATGTACTCGACGGTCGACCAGCAAATCAAGTCAGAGCCAAGAGGTGAGAACTATGGATTAAATACCTACTTTAACTTTACATTTATTTATTACAGCTTGTCTTTCATTTAGTAAATAACCACACGTTAAAACAATAGAGGTTAATGAAAGGTTAAAAGACACAAAACAGACTAAATTAAATATGTATGTAGACGAAAAATAAGCAGATTAACTGCTCAGATGTGTGACAAGCAGCCATCCCGTCTAAAGTTCTATGTTGTTACTTAAACGTGTATAGAGGTATTTTGCTTATGATATTATTATGCTCTAACTCGTACACGCACACGTTATACAAAACGAATGTTGTACTCTAATAGAGTTATGGTAAATACTTTGTTAGGGTCCCGGTTACCTAGTTACCGCTTAAGTGAATGCTTTTTGTGCTAATATTTAAAATGTACATGTCGTTGCAGACCGGACTCCGCCCCACCATAATATAAGCAGTCCGCCGCTGCACGGCTACGCGCCTCAATACGAACAGGTACCATTGTTATACTCCATGCCACAGCTTTAACTACTTCTCCCTACTGATCCTTCCTCATTCGGACTACAATATATCGTTCTTTTGCTTATTAGAAATGAATTCTATTGCAGAATTGGCCAATAGACAATATGCAAGGTGGGCTTGGAGTTCCGGGGCCAAGCCACAGCGCGGTGCCTGCAGGGCACGGGAACCCTTTCGCACAAGAGATGTGGCAGAACCAGCCCTACGGGCAAGTGTCGCCAGCTCACTTACAGCCCTCCGCTATGGCGCAGAACCTGCAAGTGTTGCAGCCCAGCATGCAGGCCATGTCGCCCAGCATGCAGCCCATGTCGCCCAACATGCAGCCCCTGTCGCCCAACATGCAGGCGCCCTACGTGGCGGAGCGCATGTCCCCCAACATGGCCGTCATGTCCCCGCACGGACAGACCATGTCTCCCAATATGCAGGTCATGTCCCCCATGGGGCGGGTGTCCCCAAACATGCCGCAGAATATGGGCCATATTTCGCCCAACTTGGTGCAACACCAAACCACTTATGCCCAGGTACGTGTTAATGCGTTTTCGAATGGAAATATATTATTTTTGTCGTTTTGAAATGAAGTACTTACATGTAATGACGTTCGCATGGCGCAGCAGGGCGCGACAGGGCCGGGCGCGATGGAGACGGAGGGCCACAGCGCGGCGTCGCTGAGCCACCTGCTGATGGACCGCGGCGGCGGCGGCGACAGCCTCCTGCTCAACTCCAGCGAGCTGTCGGGGCTCTCCGACCTGCTCAACAACACGATCCCGCAGTAAACTACTACGAACGTGTTTGACGTCACATTTTTACGGAGGAGATTAATTATATTGCTAAGTTCCCGAGTTAAGCTACAGTAGCGCACTCTACCTTCGACTTACGAATTTAATTCACGGACACGAACTTGTCTGTTGTGTCGTACGAGTGAATGGAAATATTTGTGTGTTACTACGGATTCTTTTTAACTAGTTATTATGTTGTAGTACATTTTACCGATCTGGGATTTCGTTTAAGTAAATCACAATGTGAGCGCGAGTGTAATATTAATGGACGCAGCTTATTAAGAATTTTTGTTTGTCCACGAATTTAATCATACTCGAAACAATTTGCAAAGTTTAAAATAAAATTGATCATTTATATACGCACATCACAACGTTTTATGCTTTAAGTACTGTCTATGTTCATTTTCTGGATTTTATAAACTTTTATTTAGTTCTAAACCGAATGTTTACTTGTTTTATCGCATTTATGTATTTTAACTAACAGCAAATAAATACCATTTTTCACTTAAAAATATTCTAGATCTCTTTATACTTTTCTATCGTTGATCTCTGAGCAGATTGTTAATTTTGCATTTCGTTGGTGCTTTGACTAACAGTTTTATTTTCTTGTCAAATGTTTATGCCCGTGGTCTAATAGAGTGGTTTTTATATTGTACAACAATTACGTGGTCAGAAACAGAATAGATTTTGTAAATATCGTAAAATAATGATGTGTTATATTATGCCTAGGTACATAACAATCCAATACCGTTTCTACTTGTTAGAAATGACTATCTGGATATATATACACGAGATGAGCATGCGAATAAAAACTCAAACTAATGTTGTAGCATGTTATAATGAAATTATAATTTAATGGCTAATTACTCCAAGGCTGTGGATATTTCTATTTTTTACATTAATTTCATTTTAAAGCAATATTTATTAAGTAAAGTAATTTTCCTGCAATAAACAAATTAGATATATATTGATATTTTCACAAAATAGGTATGTGATTGATTACATAGATTATAATATGTACACCATAAAATACTATACATATAACACATTCATATAATATTTCTGAAAAAGTCGTG